TGTTTTTTTGTTTTTTTTCAGTTATTGGTTGGCAGTATTTTTAATTCACAGTTTAGAGAGGAAAGAGGTGCTGTGCCGCCTTACTAAGAATTTGAAGGGATTTTCACCGGTGGAACTTCACTGCAAAACACATTTTTGCATCTGTGTTTGGTTGATTCTCTCATGAAGGCAGGAACTTGCACTTGAGCACAGTTTGTACAATGATTTAATCATTATTTCTTCCGTTTCATTTTAAAATCAGTTACAGTGAGTGTTTCTGACTCAGAAAATTGTGACTTTTTCGGCAGCCTTACTCTTTCAGTGCCTTCTGATGAGCTTTAGAGCTCACCAGGCAGTCACAACTCTGGGAGAGCCGTGTTGCTTCCCAGGTGTGTGTCTCCTTCTCCTGTACCAAAATTGGACCAAAATTGTGGCATTCTGCCTCAGTGGCTGTGCCATTTAAATCAGAGAGAGGGGGAATGTGGTGTGAGACAGAGCCCCACGCTCCTGCCTGGGCTGTACACAGGTATCAGTTTCATGGCAGCTGGCAAAGATGAGGTCACTTCCCAATGACCCTGAGGAATAAAGTAAAATTAAAAAGGCAGTTCTGCACTTTCTGAGGGTGCTGTACTCCAGCTCCTTGCAGGAGGAAAGCAGGAGATGTGGTATTGATTTTTCAGCGTGCAGGTGGCTCAGGCATGTTCTGAGCTCTGTTAGAACATGAGCAGATGCTTCATAAATGCAATAGAAAGTCAAGGATGCTTCTCTACATCACTGACTTCCCCCAGTGTTTTGGCAAAGATCATTGGCCCAAACAGATGTGGAAGAAAGAGACTGGAATTATGAAGTATGTCAGCATCATGAATATTTAAAATATGGTCCACTGTGGGGCAGAAGCACAGACACACTGAGGCTTCTGCTTAGCTGGATTTTATATCTACCTATGACTTCTTAGCCAGTGGGTATACAAGCACAGAACCCAGTTTCTCGTGGTTCATAAGTGGGGGGTTGAATGAAACCATTTAAAGAACACAGGGAGCTTTCATGCTGGGGTTTTGGTCACTGCTTTCCCCAATACCTAGCATACCCATCTCACTTTGGGGTGTCATATTTACTCCCCATCAGCACTTAGCTATCTCTGGTGTCTCTGTCTCCTGTGCTGTTGTGTCCCAGAGTGTGGTTCTTCCAGGGTGCTGTAGCACAGCAGGTGTGTTCCAAAAGGTGAGTGGCTGGCAGGAGTGGGCCGTGCAAGTGCAGCCATCCCTGTAGGAATGGGAGGTGAAGTTGCTTCCAGACCCTCTGGAGATCATTGGGGTTATGGGGCAATGTAGAGGGAAGAAGGAAGAGGTTAATTTCCTCTCCTCTATCCAGCAAGCCCAGACGAGTTGTGGGAGTGCCTGACCCTTTTCCCTTCCCCTCTGTACTGGAAACAGAGCTGGAAGCAGCAGAAAATAAGTGGACACTTACACAGTTTTCATTCAGTCTCATATATAGATTTTGTTATTCTCTTTCATGTCATTAATAAGTGACTTATGCAAGACATTTCACTTGCCAGAGTGTTCTTTGCTGTAGTTCAATGTAATAATGCATCACTATTGCATTATTTGGATGTAATTCTATTGTATTAACTACTTTTTATGCAAGTACCTTACAAAGAGAAAGAAACCCCGTGTTGTCTTGAATTTACGTCATTTATTCCTTCAGTACTTTGAAAATTATGTCTTGTTATAAAATAATTTCCACTAACTGCTATTGCATCACCAGTACCCAACCATGAATATGCATTCCTGGGAAGGAGAGAGTGACAGAAACAAACACCTACTCTAATGTGTCATTAGAAATCAAACAGACCTAAAACTTGCTTCTGCTTGCCAATGCTCAGATCTTCTAAAAGTCTGTCTCCGGCAGCGAGACCTAGGATGCATCCAGATTACAGAAGCTGTGCTTGCGTGCAGGCGAAATATCAGTGAACAATTTCAGATTATGGGTTTGCATCGTGCTCACAAAGCTGTTTATTTATGTACAGGATTAAAATCTTCTTTTTCCACCTCTATTTGCCCAGAGAAAGTGAGTGCTTAGATCAGTTCAACAGAGTTCTCCATTCATTTCCACTGGCTGTATCCTTCGTGCGTTACATCCGCCTCTGTATAAACCCGCTCTTTGTTTTGTTTTGAGGTGCTTCTTCAGGCTCTATCAGGGAAGAAGTGGCAATCTATAATATCTTCAAAAGTGGGATGGATAAAATAGCAGTAATCTGATACTGACACATAAAGGTCACCGAAAGGCATGGCTGAAACCCCCCCTGAGCAGGATGGGAGTTGCTGCCTTCGGAATGGCACAGTGCCTGCAGAGAGGGCTGGCGTTTGTCTTTCAGGACTGAGGGGTTTCTTCTCTCTGAAATGTCTTATTTTTGGTAAGTTGAGGTAGTTCCTCTTCTTGGTTGAATGGCAGTGGAAGCTCTGCGTAGGTGTTAAGCGTGTTACCCGTAGCATCGTGTTAGCAAAGTGACCTTTTAAGTTCCCATTTACAGTCAGCACCAGCCTTTATGGTTATTGACAGCACGAGCCTTTGACATCCTGAGCATCATTTAGAGTTTGATATTGTCTTGGTCATTCCATCATTTTCTTTGGACACAATACCAGGGTGTCACGTCCTGCATAGTTTGTCTTGTCTTGTGCAAGTTCCCTGGAAAGAAAAGAGATTTGCACTTGGATTTAAAAAATAAATACAAATCTCGGTAGGGCTCTTTCCGTTGACTTGGCCATGGCCTTTAGGCTCTTACAGAGAAACTTTAAAAATCCCTGCTGGGGGTTTAAGCCATGTGACTCCTGTTGATATTATAATGAGATTTACAGTGCTTAAACCCCATGGGGGACTGACTCCTTACTTGGCCATCACAAGTCCCAGTGTGTAGGTAACATGCACTGGGCAGATTCATACACTGCTTTACTGCTTTTTTCTTTTCTTTTCTTTTTCTTGTTCTTCCAAACACACTGAAATCATAACTCTCATATGTAGTCTTTATGGACTTTAATGGAGTGTTAACATGAAAGCCTCCTGTCTCACCCTTTGCTGTATCCAGGTATAGAAACAGATGATAAACCCCATTATTTTTTGAATTTTCAGATGTATATAGAGGATATTTGACCATATGCCTCTTTGGCTTGGGTGCAGGGTGTTCTTCAGCCATTCTGCCTCTTCCTTAGCTGAGGAAATGTGTGGTTTAGCATTTTTTAAATTTCCTTGCAAATAATGCATCAGTTCCTTAGTTCTTTTAAAAACTTTACAGAGATTCTCCTCACTTGAACATTTTTTAAAAGACTAATTCAGTTAAACCAGTCTAGTATTTGTATATAGAAAAGGCCTTTGTAAGGCTCTTCACCTACTGTTGTCTTTTTTAGGAAATTACCTTGCATATAGATATATTTATGCTTGAAGGACTATTTGTAAACAGACATGAATATGAAATAATGAAATAATTATTTAGATTCATGTAAAACTCATAATACCTTTTCTAGTCAGTACTTTTAAAATTATTTTTTCAATGTAAAATAATTTTTAAAATCACCTTCAGTAATCTTCAGATTCTCATTGAGCTTAAAGTCAAAAGTGGCATAATCTGGGCAGGAATTTCTCTTCCAACTCGTTTGTGTTTGGGATGACATCTCAGGAGTGTATTTACAGGGATCTGGCTACGTAGGGCATCTGAAATAATACAGGAGCACAATTTTGTCAGAGTGCACAGACAGATAATATTACAGAAGAAGAATAAGCATCATTTCCAGGTGTGTGTAAAAGTAAAATGTCAAAAAGTAGGCATTTATCCGTAACGTTACCTGTAATCCAGGATGAAGTAAGTCATAAAAGCCACACCTAGATGCTGGTATGTGTTCATATCCTTTGTGTATGTTTGAAGTCCATAATACAGCACAGGAATACTGTAGCAAAAAGATTTGCCATGAAAAATACATACATGTGTGAGCATAAAATAGAGATTTCAATATTGTTTTGACATTTTGATTTTAAAGTCATCTAAGGTTATGGAGATTGTTGCAAAAAATAATTCCTTTCCTTAGGAAGTTTCCATGCAGAAGTCGAATAAAGAAGATATTTTAGAATATGGTTCATCAGTGAGTGCAACAGATACATTTCCCTGAGCACCACATGGCCTGGATCAAAGAGTCTCATGACTTGGATCAGTGCAGCCAAATCATTACGTATTGATTGGAATCCCGCTGAAGGATTAACCCCTTAGTGCTCATATGAATTTTTTGCTTTAACCCTGGGTTCAGTAGTTGGGAGGCTCTGTGACGTTCCTGCCCAATCTTAGGCAAGGTTAATAGCCCCCACTAACCCCTCGTGCTGAGGAATCCTTTGATTGCATGCCCCCTCTCCTTTATGGTGAATTTTGCGTTTGAAAATACATCTCAAATCTTCTTACTTGAGGATGTAAGGGGGTTGTATTTGTGCAGTGAAACAGCCTGTAAGAAGAAGAATAAAAAACAACCAGAAAAAACCCCAACCCAGTAAATAAATAACATGGTGGGAAAGCCAAGGCTGCAAATTTGATGCTTTTCCTTTCTGTAGCCATGAGGAAAGCCTCAGGTCTGGCTGTGTTGTGGTGTAATGGGACACTGCTGTATGGAGATGACTTCTCGATGAAGTTGAGTTGTAAATATGCAATGTTCATAAATTTTTTAGCAAAATATCAAGCAGGATATTAAGCAGGTCTCTCAAATGATTTCTCCCCCGTCCGTGTTAATTTAAATTCTTTACAAACCTCTTAATTAATGAATGAAATGTAGGAGGATAGCTAAGCAAGAATGACACATGTTTCACACTGCAAATGGTATTTAATTCTGTTTTGAAAAACCATGGGCAAGAATCAGGCGGGTACCGTGAGATGTTGGGGATGCTTCAGGATCTGGCGGTCGCTGCTCTTTAGGAGTCTTTGTGAGGATGAATTGTTAGAGTACCTTCAGTTTACAGCACTTGTTCTCTGTTCTCTCTCTCCCCTGCAGTTTACCCCACGAGGAGCACTCACACAGCCACCCGCTGTACGGACACGGCGTATGCAAATGGCCGGGCTGTGAAGCAGTATGTGAAGACTTCCAGTCCTTCCTAAAGTAAGGATGGTTTTTTTGGCGCTTGCATTGTACAGAAAGCATGCCCTGAAATTCTGTGTGCTGTCACTCACCCTGGGCCTGATGCAAAGCCCATTGAAGTCAACAGAGAGCTCCCTTTCACTTCAGTGGCTTTTGGATCAGGCTCAAGAACGTTTTAACAGGGGATAGTAAATTAGCCCCATGGGGAAATTATGGTCTTGTACAGTGTATTGCTATAAAATAGCTTTTGCAGTTCCGCAGCTTTTTTTTTTTTCTTTATTTTATTTAAATAATTTTTAAGTTGCAGTATCGATCATGTAAATAATAAAACCTTGTTTTAACCTTGATTTCACTTTAATTTAGAAATCTAGTCTTAAATTAACTCCATAATTGAACAGAGAATTGCAGAACATCACGTGAAATTTAATTTATGTCAAATAAGTAACTAATGAACAAAGTCTACACTACTAAAAATAAACTATAATTATATTAATTGGGCCCCTGCAGTTTGCTGCAGACCTTTTCCTTGCTGCCAAAAAACACAATTTTACACGTTGCATAAGCAGTGCATTATGGACTAGTGTGTGGTAGTGCATGCATCCCGATGCAGGGAAGGACCTCAGAGCCCTAATAGCTTACACATGGCTGCTCCACAACTAAACCATCAACCTCACCCCTGTTCCCATCACAAAAGAGTTCTTTGTCTGGGTAGGACACCAGGTACACACATGCTGTGGGTGCATCCAGGTTGCTGAAGGTTCGTCCCTGATCTTTGCTCAAGTTCTGTGGCTGGTCAGTTGTAAGATCACTAAAGACCAGCCACTCAAGAAATGTTTGTGATTTAAATGCACAAAGGGACAAGTTTTTCTCCCATTTAGAATAGTCATCTCGTGAAGTTAGTCCACATAAATAGATGAGGTTCTTCAGGATGAATAAGTAGACTTACTCCCAAAAGATTCAGCTGTACCTGCTGTTTCTGGGGCGGTTCCCTGGATTTTTATGTGAGGGAGGGAAGGGCAAGAGCAAGCAGAGGATGTTTGTTGAGTGATGTTAGATGATACAGATAGGGTTTTGCTCTCAGAACAGAATGGACCAGTTGTGGTTCCACTGGCAAAACCCTCCTGAGTTCGTAGGAGCGGCGCTAGTCCTACTGTAAACATATATTACAAGTGAGGAATGGTACAGTAATGAGAAGGTTCTCATTACAAGAGGATTACAAAATAAGAAGGTGCTAGTCATAAATTTCCATGAAGGGTGGCCTCATTCCTTGTAATTCATCCTGTTGTTCACTTAAGTGAAATAAATGCTAATCTCGCCATACTTGCCAGCTCATTCATATTCATATGCCATACTGTAGCATTTAGACCTTTAAAACAATTCTCAATTTACTGCTGTAAGTGCAAGGGAAAGGTGCTGTGGTAGCCTTAGATAGCAGAATAAAGTGGGTGGTCACATATGGTCAGATTGTGCCACCTTTGCTTCCTGTGCTAGTCCCGTGTTCCAGGTGAGAGCAGCTGCTTTCAAGAAGATTCCATAGGAATCTTGAGTGGTCTGCTTGAGGTGGCCATGCATAGAAAACACAGCTCTTAATCGCAAGCATAGGTAGAGGCAGGGTTGGTTTTTTATATGGTATTTTGGAGGTGTTTCAGTACCCAGACCCAGACCACCAGTTCACCTGGAGGACATAATGTGCAGCAGTCAGTAATTAGGAATAACCTGCAAACTGTCACCAGCCCAGGTTGGACTTGAAGCTGCTCCATCAATTCTAGTTTTTTCACTATCAGTCTAGCTTTTGTCTCCATTGAAAGCTTTCAACAGAAATATTTTGTGTGAACTTCCTAAACTTAATCACCTAAATTTTCTCATCCAAATGCTGCAGTGTCCAAAGTCTTACTGTTCAGAGTGATATTTAACCCAGAACAAATGCAGAAATGGATGTCCCTGAGCATTGTATTGACACTGTTAAGAAGTGAGCGTTGCTTCATAAAATACTGTAGCCTTCCATGTCTCCTGTGGAGCATCTGTCCTTAAAATTATGTTGCCATTTATCAGAATTCATTACTCAATGAAAAGATAATGGGTAGATGGTTGAAGTTTCTTTCTGATACTTGTGTAATCTCTGACACTCTTTTGATGGCCCCCTCAAGGGAAAAGCTCTTGTTTACCAAGTGAAATGCAGCCTGTATATCGAATATTGCTTAATTTCACTTACCTTGTGAAAAGGCAAAGAGAAGTTGTATGTGGAATGAAGGCCCTGTATGCCAATAAAATGATTCTTCAGTTAAGGGAGAAAAAAGGACTCACAGGTCTAAAACATGGTTCATTTCTTTTCCTCCTGAGGAAGAAATATCATAACTGTTGATAAATCAAAACCAGAGATTTGACACTCTTCTGTGATCATTCTGTAGTGTTTGTTCCCAAGGTGAGGTACACCACAGGGCCCTTGATTTCAAAGATAAATACTGTACAAATAACGATCCTAGTTGTCTTTCACTCACAGCCAACAGGAGGATGCTTATCAGAACCAGCAGATACACGGGCTATTGTACGCATTTATTTCCCTGTTTCTTTTTGAAATAAGTTGCAGTTTTAGCAAGTCCTTGTGTCGTGTTTCTGTTTTGAATCCATCAGCCATTGGTTATCATGTGATGCGGTATCAGTTAGAGCTAACTGATAGCAGCAGGGGCTGCTGCTCTGCCTAATGAAACAGCAGCACCCTGCATGCTCCAGAACGCTCCCTCAGCCTAAAAACAAAAATAAGTCCAGTCTCAGGGCGGTGACCCTGTGGCCTCTGCCAGGCTGCAGGGAGCAAGGTGAGGGCTGGAGGGTGCGCACGTGTCTGGCCTGGTAACCAGGGCCCTCTCGCAGGCGGGAAAGGAGCAATTAGTAGCACAGAGCGACTTTCCTGCAAAATTGACTGTATCCTTGATTTCATTTGCATGTGTTTAAAGACCGTGGAAGATAGGAATATACACCCCTTATGCAGCAAGTTGTTCAGGAAATCCCGGCTGGAGGGAGGGTGGTTTATTCAGCAGGGTAGCCAGGGCAAAAAATTCAGAAGACTGAATAGGGTTTTATTATTCCTCACCCCTCCCTTTTTTTTTCCCCCCTGTAATTTGACTGTGGGTTAGACGTGTTTAATCCTGGCTGTAGCATTTTTAAATCAAATATATTCTTTAAAAGAAAGGACATAGACCTTAGGAGAGATGTGGCAGTCCCGTGTTGCAGTGATGCTGGTAATCTGCTTCATGTGCATTTAACTTCGGTGAAACGAAGGGGAGTTTATGTGAAAGAAACTACTAAGTGCACTCTGTAATGTTTTCACAAGTGTTTTTATCATGGTAACATCTTGTTTACTTTAGTTGCCTGCCTAAAACTACTTGGAACATGTTAAGAAAACATTTCGAGAAAGCTTCTACAAAGAGGCTTTTGTTTAGCAGCAACTGTGAGACTGCTCGGCTCACAAAGGTGTTAACTTTCAACCCCTTAAGCACTTCCACATGAAATTCCAGCAACTATGTTTGTGGTTTTGGAAAAACAAAGTGTATATTAAAGAAACCAGGTATATGCTAATACATGTTGAAGTAGGCCGGAAATCATAAATTGTTTCAAAGGCATTAATTGCGCTCGTTTTGCATGGCAGAGCGTTCTGCACTGAAATCATCCGCACGGCGCGGACTGTTTAATCGCACAGGCAGCGAGGGCAGGGAAAGGCCGGGCTCTGGGTGGGTGTTTCGGGTTTCTGTAGGGCCGGCGGGACCCCCTCGGCGAGGGGGAAGCTGCGGCATCGCGGCCCCGTCCCGTGCGGGGGGACCTGGCCGCGCCCGCCGGCAGCCGCCGGTGCCGAGGCCGGCAGGCCCGGGGACGGGCCCGGTCCGGTGCCGGCTCCCGCTGCTTCCACAGCCCCCGAACCACCCCCGGCCAGGGCTGGGGCTCGGGACCCCCGCGGCGGCGGAGGCCGGGGTGGCCCAAATCCCACAGTGCCCTCTAGTGCTCCCGGGAATGCTGCTGGGAGCGGGAGAGGCACCGGGAGCATCCCCGGGAGCAGCGGCAGCCCCGACACGGCCCCGCTCCCGCGCCTCCCGGGCAGGCGAGCAGCAGGACTGCTACAAATAACGCCCTGAATTCCTGTTTCATTATTTTTAATTGATTTTTTAAAAATTATTTTAATTTTTATTTTTTATTCTATTATTTTAATTGTTATTTTTCTTATTATTTAATTCTTATTATGCATTTTATCGTGTATGTATTAACAGTCATTAACAAATGTCATTAGGTCATTATTTATTCTAATATTTTCATTTCCTTCAATATTGTAACTTTATTTCTATTTTATTTTCATGCATGCTTTGCACACACACATATATATATATATATATATTAAATACTTCTGCTGATGAAATATATGTAGCAAGGTCCATCGCCTTGCATTATCCCCTTTTTTCCTCTCTTAAAGGTGCACTTAGTTTATGTTTCCCATTATAATTTCCGGTGTGTAATCAGAAAGCATTCCTTAAAAGACAGGGATCATCTTTGTTTCATACTTTTATTGACACTGTCTACCATATTACTGCGATGTCTAAATGGTAAAATTTATTATTAGCAATAGTGTCACAAAAGTCTGAGACAGCGATTTTCCTTTCAATAAAAGTAGTTAAAAACCTTTTAGAAAATCCATAATTTTGATTGCTGGTACTTCATAAATGTATAACTGGTACTTTTTAGCTGTCTCTTTAGGGAAAAATGAGTTTTATCACCTGCAGTACCTGGGTTAATGAAATTGTGTGTTGGAATTTAGCCAGAATGAAAGATGAGATCATTTGGTGGCACTAATATTGGCAACAGGTCTCATAAAAAGGTTCGACTCTTTTTAGAGAATTATCATTAGGGCTTTTTCTTTTTTTGAGCATGAGGGAGAGATTCGAGTTATTTGTCATTTTTGAAGTTTCTGTGGTTCGAAGATTTTTGTCTGCTGTAATATCCCAAACCCAGTGACCTAAAAGCCTTCGCCAAGGCCAAGAGAAACACAACAGTGTCCATCAGTGCCTAGTAAAGGAATTTACTTGCTTCAGATTTCAGCTCCAGTTCCTGTTTCAGCCCTTTAAAAATCACGACTCTCAGCTCAAATTTGAAATAACGCTGCTT